CTGACTTTTGACATGTTTTTTAAAACTTACATATCTCTGTCCCTGCTTAATTCAAGTCGGTTAATTAAACCACTAAGGAGTAGAGTGGCTCCCACCGTTAATTAATTGTACTTTCATTATGGGTGTGGACACGTGAGTGTCTATATCGAATGCATTTATTCTCAAGCTATATTTTATATATATATATATATTTATATGTTAAAAAATGGAGAGAAAGAACAAAAATTCATAGTCTTTCTGTTTCTTTTTCAGCAGCAGTGTTAAATCATAGCATTTTTAACAGTCTCTCCTGTGTGTTTAGATTCAGATCTCCTGCACTGCACATATATATATGCCGGGTTACAAACGGGTGCCGTGCTCGGGAGCCACGGCCCTCGTGCCACCTTTCCCTCGCAGCCACGTGGGTGCCGTGCAGGTGGAGGGTGGCCTTTGCGGAATGGGGACCTGGACCCCCTCGTGCAACAGCAGCTGAGGAAAATCAAAGAAAACGCCTGGAATCCTCCTCACTGTGGGAACCAGGATCATTAACATGATCAGACAGAAAACTTGTAGGAGAGCAAGGTTAGATGAAGGGAGCGGTGGGAAGGGGGAAGGAGTGTTAGCTTTTGAGCTAGAAATGCTCCAGCGACTCCCTTTTCCTTTTTTTTCCCCCCTCTTCTTTCTACATATATCAAGGGCAGCAAGCCCAATACACAGTGCAACAAGAGGAACACATTTTATTGAATTTCTGCACGCAGAGGTATCTGTCAATCCAAGTTTAAATCACTTAGTGTTCACCACAGGCTGCGGAGGTCCCAAGTGACATCAAAATGTAGGTTTTCTGCGCTGTGGATTAGCGYCTGTGTAGGGTTTCCATGGTCCAGAAGTGTCGTGAAGCAAAGCTTCATATAACCTACCCCAGCGGTGTAGCAGTTATTTCAGAAAGTCCCGCAGTCAGAGGGAGTAGAACAAAGGCTTATTTGAGCGTTTGGCTGAAATGAGAACTGCGTGGTGGTTCCTGGTGGCCCTACGTGAGCCGTACGTAGCTTTCCAAGCGGCTCCTTCCCTTCTCCGTAATTGCAGAAAAGGGGCCGTGGAGGTTTGTGCCGCGGTTCTCCTTCCCCCGTAGGATTCCTCCATTCCTGTTTTAAGGTTTGCGCTTGGCGTTGTCTGAAAATAGTTCATCACGGCAAATAATAGTCGTAGCCACAAGAGATGCATAAGTAGACTTTGAAGTGAGCGAATCAATAGTCCGGGCTTGTATTTTTGTTTTGCTGTACGATTTTCTCCCGCTGTCCCACATCTCCGTAGAGTGCCTGTCAGTAGGAGTGCTCAGGCTGCCTCCGTCCCTGTTGTGCAACCAAAACACATGTGAGAAACAAATGGCTCCACAGAAGCCCTCGTTGGTGAAGAAGTGGAGGATACCACGAAGGATGCTGTTCTCAGTGTAATGCTCATGACCCAAAGTGAGCCCAAAGAYGACTATGGACAAAGACAAGGTCTTGGGAATTGGGCTTGTTCACTTCTCTGTCTCTGATCTCCTGCTTTCTGTTGGCAGTGGTATAATAGAAAAAGGAGGAGTCCATGAGACATGGTTTAAAAGGTGATCCCGATGATCTCTAAAGCTTTAGGGAGTTCTGGAGGAATGCAGGCGTGCTTGGCACCTAACGTGTCCTACTTGGCATGAACCGTGAAACTTAGCACATGGAAGGAAAATATGGTTCACAGAAATTTTAGGGACTAATGGTCCTTAGAAGGCATGTTTATATATTATAAAATCATAGTGGTATTAATTAGAGATAGTCTTCTCTTTCTGTTTAATAACATAGGATCCTGTTGAGTACAGCCTAGATGTATCATAACGGTGCAAAAGCAGGTCACCTTTCCATTTGCAGCTTTATAAGTTGGCAAGAGAAATCCTTAATAAGCCTCAAGGAAAATTTTATCCCCCTAAAAAGCACGTTTTGTACTCCCCAGCTCCCCACCCTTTACACCCTGTGTTGGCAGCCTAGCAGTATATTGAATTTAACCCACATTTACCTGGGGTTAGCCTATATTTTCAGGTGATCCGTGCATAAAGCAGGACCATGATATAGTTCATTGAATACTACCATATGAGTGGAACTAGCTTTTTAAGTGATTTTTTTCCCCCAGGATGGTAAGAAAGGGAGAATCCTGATTCCACTGTAGCCAACTGGAAGGACAAACCCTTTCAAATAGGAGGGTTAATGTCAATTGTTATTTATTGTTGACACCAGCATCATAATTCTGCATAGCAAGGCAATGTTAATTCCAGGCTGTGGCCCTTGCAAAAATGATGTGCAAAGGGATTTCAGGAAATATTTAAATAAAGGACCTGGCACAGCAGAGACTGGCAGCTCTGCATGGAGAGAACTTCATTTTATTTTATTTTTTTCCYAGATTTGCTTTTCATTTTTTCTCCAGCCTGTTTATTTCAGCAATGCCTGATACAGGGATGGCGCGTTAGCATGTCTTAATATTGAACAATTTATGCTTGTTGTTAGTTATACATCATTTAGGGCTGTGATCATAAATTGTTCAATCACAAGGTTTAGTCAAAGCTAGCATTCTTCACTGATGTCTTTTCCCAAGGGTGTTGAAAATTCGATTGTTCAAAGTGCAAATATGGTTTAGCAATCCCTTCCAAGAACCATTTATCAGAAATCCTAAGGAGGTAATATATAAAAGTGGGCTAGGAAACCTGCACATTAAATGGGATTTACCAGCCAAAGCCTTTGGAACTGCTTTCCTGTGAATGACTGGAATGGAGCAGAACAAAGTCAATTACTGACTGTAATTAAGGAGTGGATGCATTTAAACTGTAGAGAGCAGTAGCAGTCTTCTTGAAACTGTCTAGTTGCTCTGAAGATTAGTCTGAAGAAAGAAAGGAAAGGACTTGAACTATATCTTGCTGAAAGTATATTTTAAATGAATTCTCTTCCCTCACTGCTATGATCTGTTTTTACAGATTTGCTCATAAAACACTGATAATATATGATTATCAAAATAACGTGTTCAGACAAAGAAACTTTCAACATGTATTTGTGCTTTGGTCTCGCTAGCAATGGAGTATCTCTTTTGCATATCATACAGCACAAATGTTTATGCAGCGCCGAATACTCCCATTTTAATAAAGCCTGAATTTACTGAACGGAAGACTGAACTATGTTGTGTCCTTCTTAAGCCTCCAAAATACAGTAAATCTAATTATATATGTTGCCCTTGCTTTGAAAATATTATTCCTTTTTACTATTTTAATAATGATTTGTTTATGCTGGAAGAAAGGCATTAGATTGAATTGTGCCCTGTGTTTAGTCTAATTCATATCTGCATGGGTATATTAATAACTCGTGATATGATGTAATACATGCAGAACCCCAAAACCTTCAGGCTCGGGACTGGAGGTCACAGATAGTTACCCAAAGTTGATTTTTTTCTTGATATTTTTTCCTCTTTTTCTTCTTTTTCTTACAAATGGCAAGCATATGAGGTCGCAGTGCTTAATGAAATGTCTATGGAGTTGTGGCCCATCCCAGGAGATCCAAGTTTCCCAGCGATTCTCCCGACGGAGAATCGGGACCCAACGGAGCGGCGGGTCCCAATCCCGCCATGCGGGGCCATTCCCACATCCCTGCAGCTTGCGGACAGGATGTCTCCCTTGGCACCGGACCCACAGGATTTTCCTTAATGACTTGGGAATGGCTCCTTACAGGCATTTCCTCAATAACGAGAGGGTTCTACAGCAATTAATAAAATATTAAGCTGTTTTGTCTGTGCTCTTTTTCTTTTTTATTCATTCTTTTTTTTTTTTTTAGTTTTTTCCTGGTAGTATTTCAGTTGAAAGGATGATGTGGGGAAAACGCGGTCAGCACGTTCTGTTGTTACTCTTATGCTTTAGTCAAAACTCTTGACAAGGCAGCTATGGTGCAAGAGAAGCACTTGAATAACTTATTTGCTTTGCTCTAAATAAATAACCGTGCCAGCTCTTCAYGCCTTTGCTCTGCTTTTGCTCACTCCTTGCTCAGGCAGAAACCTTCATGGAGTCATGGAGAAAGACCTGAGAAGCCGTAGGTCTTGGTGGCCCTTTGAGGAGCAGCGTGATGGACCAATGTGCACCAAGCCCTTGCAAAGCTCTTGCTTCAGAGCCCGGCCAGCTCTGCCCGTGGGCACAGCGGGCTCCTGCCTCTCGCAAAGCATCGCAGCCACCTAACCCTCTGCTTGCCCATCTGCAAATACCCCTGGCTGCTGTTCTTGCCCTCTCCTGATGGATCTGCCAGGGCTTCGCTCGAGGAGTCTTGGGGCAAAGCTCTGCCCAGGTCGGGGCCTCTGCAAAATGGTAATTTTGACCTGCTTTATGCCATGCGGGGAGGTTTGCCGTGGTGCAAAGTCACATGAAGAAAAGTGGTGTCTCATTATGCTCAGGCGGTTTGCAGAAGTTGAGGCCAACGGGAYATGCGTGTGTATTCCCACCAAATAGGCAGTGAAACAGCGGTATCAGGGGAATGGATGTTCTTTTGATAAATATTTCCAGGGAGTAGGTCAAAAATGTAAATCAACTTCAATTCAGACAAACTAGGGATTTTTTCCATGATAAATGGGCTCCTAATTACTTTGCTGCAGCCATCTTTGATGGCAGTTTTTACTGTTAATAACAGTTATATTATTAATTTTACCAAAGCAATCGGAAGTGGTCTCCAGAATCACAGGTATGTAACATTACATTCCAGTTCAGGGACAATGGAATCAAATACCTAAGTAAGAAGAATATCAGAAGGGAAGCCTGCAATAGCAGGAAGYTTGCAGTGAATCCTTGCACCTCATTCCTTTCTTTTCAGCGTGCATTTCTTTTCAGATTTACATGTAAACTGCCTGTGGCACCACCGAGGCTCCTGGCCTCTCCAAACTTTTGTCACAATATCATTATTTTTTGCACTAGGATCTCAGGAAATGCTCTTTCCCCTGTGCTGTACTCACCTGTCCTTCCCCATGCCCTCCCCTAGATCACCACGCTCTCTGGCAATGAGTTCCTGCTGCAGTCGGATATCGACTTCCTCATATTGGATTGGTTCCACGCTATCAAAAATGCAATTGACAGATTGGTATGTATTTGTTTTGGCTGTTACCTTTATTAATTAAGATGTAGCAATTTAAACTTCATTTGCTCAGGCATCTCTACAGGTTTTAGACAGGCAGAAGCGAGCAGCTAGCTAGACGCTCCTTTATCGGGAGGATGTATAAATATGCATGCAAATCTAAAAATGTCAGATAAACAAGGTTGTTCAACTAAAATGCCATTTGATTCGTGTCTTAAAACAGAATGCTGCATCTATTTTGCTGAAATAATAAGGACGTTGGTTTACTGAGGGTTGTAAAAGCACACAAGCACTTAATAACTAATGAATTTTTGCATTTTCTGTTTATGCAGCCTACAGTATATAATCTTCAATAGAACTATTAATACATTTGAGCCTTTTATGAATTTTTGTATTACTTATTCACAAGAATAACACTAGCAAATAATATTCCTTTGTAACTGATTGCTGTTATTCTCCCAAGAAGGCTGGGGGTTTTCTCCTAGAAGTAACCAGGGCTGCCTTTTATTGAAACAGTTCTTAATTACCAAACCAGATTCAGCTGTAGCTTTTTCTCTTTTCTGCCACTCTCGGTACCGATTCCACATGTCTCCCTTCTATCTCTGCCTGATCCAAGAACGTGTTTCTATAGGGCACTGACTTCCCTTGTTCACTGCAGAATCTGGTGAGAGAAAAATATCCCCATTTCTTGCATTTTTCAGAGGTTTTTGCTATGATGTAATTGCTAGAGCTGGCGGAGCAAGTCCCTGCGGCAGCTCGGAAAGGGTTAATTGGAGCAGGGCTACAGTTTCCTTAAGGAGCTGCAAACGTTATATTACCCTTAGGCTATAATCAGCCAAGGAAAGTTTGATCTGATGATGTATGTCTTCATATTGTGCATTTCATTGGACGCGGGTGGCTGTTGATATCCTACTGAAGATTTTGGGGTGGAGTTTCCCGTGGGGACTCAGAGCACTTCTATCTGCGCGCTGTTCAGCTCAACATCTAGTAGACTCGGTTATTTTTTAGTGCAACTCTGGTAAAAGCCTGGCCTGGGCAGCCGGGAGGAGGACAAGGAGCCAAAGGAGGGACAGCTCTGGGCCCTCAACCAGCCTTTAGCATTTTAAGATATAATGACGGCAGCACCAGCTCCCAGGGCAGGTTGCCCCACCTGCAGTTGTGGTTTTGCACAGGAGCAAATGTCATGGAATGACATTGCAGGGATGTCACCTACTTCGAATGGGTGTGCGGCGAGGCCTTGCAGCTTAGCAGGTCATTGGCAGGACTGCATCTTACCTGGCCTTGTTCCTTGGGAAAATARGAGAGACTAGCCAAAATTACATGTTTTTCCTTTATGAAGAACTGAGACCGTTAATGGCCCCTAATTATTGCTTTATATGTCAGTGAATTAAAGCCATAGAAATACTTCTTTCTCCCCTAAATCTACACTAACAGAATTCAAGCTCAAATATGCAACAATATTTGAAACAACTGTGTCTGAAGGAATATTTACTGTAAATATCTAAAGCAAGAAGGTGCTTAGCCTTTCTCTTCACAATCATTAAGAAATAGCCCATGCAGTGAGGAAATCATTTYATTCTCTGAGTCCTTAAGAAGCAGGCCATGGGTTTCCTAATATAAGTGGGAACTTATCTGAAAAATCAGGATCAGGCTGTAAGGAGCAGAAAAGATCTGTCATAAGAGGAAGAAATTCTGCAGTATATATTATATATAATATACTAACTGCATCACTTGCTTTTTGTATTGGTATTCGGTAATTTGTTTTTTCATTCCTACACATACGAATTTATTGCAAATATATACACGTGTATATATGTTCTTTTTCCAGTCCAAAGAACAGAGCTGTACCTCGAGAAATTTGGAGTTCAAACTCAAAAGATCCTCCAGCATCGAACTGCTGAATAGCTTAGACGCTGAATCCAAAGAACCAAAGCCTGAGCACAGAAAGTCTTTAAGTAAGATTTTTTTACTGATTTTCCCTTGCTTGTTTGCTTTTTAAATAAATTTGCCAGTATACGGGTAAGATAATTTGTATCACATACAGAATGTAAGGAAGATCACTGAGAATTTTAAAGCTGACTGCTTTCTCTGCCGATATACATAACTTGCATTTAAGCAAAGACAGTTACTAGCTCCATACTTTTAAGGGTGACATTCTCTCCTAAGTAAAATAAATTTGTTTAGGAGCAAAGACTTATTCAAGCCATTTGTTTTTAAAAATAAGCAACATGAGTCCTATGCTAATATTCTGTTGCAGTGGCTTTGTTTCCATTTTAGTAAAATGCCTCAAATTGCTTGAGTAATTCTTTTTGTTATATATTTATACAGCGAATTACTTAATGATCTGGCATATCCTCTGGAGTGAACAACCTATAAAGTTATGGAAGTTGAATTCCAAGGATCGAGGTTGAGGTTTGTTAGCAAGAAGAGAAAAAAAGCAGATTTAAAACTAAATAGTGTTGCGCTCTAACCCACTGAGACTTTTTTTGCCCAGTTTGTGCCAAGATGCTCATGAGATTGTGGGTACAAGATGCAGGGGTCAGTGGTGACTCTGAACCATTCAATCAGCATTTATTTCTTAATTTTCATGCTCTCTCTTTTATCTTTGTTTTTCTTCTTTGTTCAGCAAGAGATTCACATTCTGCTTCTAACGTAACTGCCGTGACAGCTTTAGACCCTCCCTATAGGTAGTGGAGTGCTGTGTAGGAATTCAATTGCCTACATATTTTTYGAGGATCGCAGCCTTAGATCTTAAAGAAATAGTTGCATTCAAAAGGCCCAACGTAGCTATTTTTGATGATAATTATCCACATAATCACAAATGTCTGCACACATGTGTGCGCACGCGCACACATGCACACAGAGATGCATTAAATAGACAATTTTTGCAGACCAAGGCTTTCTGTTGTTGTTATTTCCTTCTTATCGTGGAGATTTTTTTTTTAAAGTGCTTTCTGTCTGCAATAAAATATAAAGTGGCCTGGATGTAGCTTGCGAAAAATTGTCCTGATATCTTCATACTGCTGGGCTACACTGTGTTTCTCAGAACAAGAAAAATCAGGCTGATGTGCACGGTAAGTTTGAGGGCCYGATTCTGCTCCTGTTGAGGTTAGTAGCAAAATACCCACTAGCTGTCTCATCACTCGGGGAATTTCAATTTATTGATTTATTTTGACTTCTCAAATATCTTTAATTGATAATTTATCCAACCAAACAGAAAGAAGTGAACACGAGCCATTTCATAGACTCAGTCTACATTTTTTCCCAAACCTTAGAGAATTGTGAATAACCTCTGTTTTGTTAAAGGCTATTTAAGCTATTAAAAAATGTGAAAATATCTGCCGTGGAATCTCACTGAATCGAAGCTCGTATTTAAATACTGTAGATTGCATTGCTTCTGAAATATGTATTCAGAACTTTTGGGGGCCCCTTGAGATCAAGTAATTATGTGGAATTAGAAAAATCATATTATTCACTTACTTATTAGTAGTCTAAGCACAAACTGTATTGTCAGTTTTCTGCCTTTGGCTTTCTGTGCCCTTAATGTTCACACAAGTATCGTAGCCAGAATTATCGGCAGCTAGAGCCAAAATTGCTTTAAAAAGGCATGAGAACTGGTAATGACACATTGTTAGCAGTTAACAGGTGGTCGTTTCATTGTCCAGTTTGACTGCAGAGCCCGGAGAAGATATGTGCAATCTCTGCAAGTATGTTTATAAAGTTATTACAAAGTTTAGCAATTTTATAATTTTTTGTAGTGCTCTTACAATGTTGACTGCTGCCAATGTCAAAMGCAGACAAAGGAGATTTTTGAAAGTTGGCTTAACTCGGCGTCAGCTTAATGCAGAAAGGAGGAAGGCAACTGTGTGTTCGCAGGCCATCACCGCCCCCTGATAGGCTTTAATGAAATATTCAGACAGTTCAGATTAATTTGTACCTTCCTTCTGTACACTTCAAGGGCTTCAAAAATATTCTAGAATTTTGGACGACATACTATTGTGGGKTTTTTTAGCAGCATGCGAGCCTAGAGGACAGGTATATTCTATCCAAAGTGTTCCAGTAATTTACTCTTTAATTTAAAACTGGGGAGACTGCCTCTAGAGATTGAGTTGCAGGAATTTAGTTTCTGTGCTTAATCCTAATTGCCTTTGCTTAGATTACAAGGACAAATGGTAATCCTTAGTGGTGCTTTTTGAGGTCTAGGCACTGATTTCTTTGGAAATTGGGCTTAAAATGTCAGGCTCAATATACAGAGTGCACCTAGTGAGTGTCCATCTTCCTGGTCATCTTGTTTGGACTTGACTCAGATTTTTGTTGAAGTTTTCTCGAGTTAAGAAATAGCCAAGGATCGCTTTGGGAAACATTATCAGTAATGTCTAAAATATCTGTGATCCTCCTTTCCAATATGTGGGAAAAAGATTACTCTTTATTTTATGGTGCCAAATATTTCAGAGATTTAATTTATGTAGCTAATGCTTAGTCAGAAGGAGGTTTTTTTTTTGTTTTTTTTTTTTCCCTTTTTTCCACTTCAGAAAACTCCTTCTTAGAGGACAAACGCTTTTGGTGCGGGAAATGTGGCCCGCAAAACTCTCTTCTTGATGGGAAGAAATGTCCCAGATTTCATAGTTCCAGGTGATTTCATTATCGTTTAGGTCATAGTCTCTTTTTCCTAAAGTTGCCCCCAAAGCCATGATTTAACAGTAGTGGCAGCTGTAATGCAGCCCTTGGTAGGAGGTCAACCAGGGTTAGGCCTGGTTAACCTTAAACCARGTTTAGGACGTGGAGCTTCTGGAGAGGGTCCAGAGAAGGGCAACCAGGATGATTAAGGGAATGGAACATCTCTCGTATGAAGAGAGGCTGAGTGAGCTGGGCCTGTTTTCTCTGGAGAAGAGACGGCTCAGAGGGGATATGATTAATATGTATAAGTTCAGGAAGGGAGAATGCAGGGAGGAAGGGGACARGCTGTTCTCACTGGTGGCCAGCGATAGGACGAGGGGTAATGGCCACAARCTGAARCATAAGAAGTTCCGTCTCCAGGTGAGGAGCAACTTCTTTATTGTTAGGGTAACAGAGCAGTGGAACAGGCTGCCCAGGGAGGTTGTGGAGTCTCCKWCTCTGGAGGTCTTCAAAACCCGCCTGGATGCCACCCTGTGCCACATGCTCTAGGTGTGCCTGCTTGAGCAGGAAGGTTGGACTAGATGATCTGTAGAGGTCCCTTCCAACCTTAAATATTCTGAAATATTCTAGGCCAGACATAGTACCTGGGGTAGACTGAGCATAGCGATGCTCATGGTAGATAGAGAAGGTCTCTCTCTCTTGCAAGGATTCCCATTCAGTGTTCCAAGAAAACAAGACTTTATTGTGTACATGGACTATAGGAACCATTGGGATAGCAAAGCCTGCAGCTGACAAACCCAGCGCTGCGCTCTCCACTCAACACGGTTGACCTTTTCTGCGCATGGGGACTTGGTGTTGGCCCTTGTGGTCCTTCTCCGGGAATCCAGGCACTCAGCAGTGACCTCTGGTGGAAGAGGCTCTGCTGAAGGATCTATGGGTTGTTGGAGGGGATCAATTCCCCTTCTCCCCCTTTTCCAAGGGGCAGCAACCAGCTCGGCAGTAGGAAGAGCCCTTTGGCTACCGTATCAATCTGAGGGTGGCTCTTGTCAAAGTTCACAGTCACAAGCCTGATGCTGCAGTCCATTCCAAAAGCACTCTCTTTCCAACCTGCTCCCCATCATTCCCTTATGGCGTCACATTTACTCAGTTCATCACGTTCTTATGAATATTTTAGGTTTCCTTGAAAGTGATGGAATTCTATTTTTATTACAAAAGCAACAAGAATAAATACTAATTGTTGTCAGTTGTTTCCTTATGTAGTGGGAACACTAATCTGTTCCTCAGCCGTAGGTTGCCAAAGCAAAATAATTAAATATTTTAGACATTTAAAAAATCTGTGATATTAGATAAATGCAATTTGATCTCCTTGTTTTGCCATATAAAAGCTGTAACTGGCGGGATTGATAAGCTTGAATTGCATTATTTTTATTGTTTCTACTGGCGTATTTTTCTGTTATCTGCAAGAACACTTTACTGAAAGTGCAGTGGTTAGTCATGCAGCCATACTGTGGATCTTGTACAGTCCCTAAGTTGAAATCCAAGCCTTGGAAACCACAACCAGAGGATTAAAATATATACAAGGATTAAAATATATATGCATATATATATAGGAGTAAGAAGGGAGGTCCTCAAGGGTTGCATAAAATGTTATTCGTTTTTACTTCAGCATCTTAATAGCTGCGGTTGGGGATCGGGGCTTCATTGTCCTAGGCACAATGGGAGCTGCAAGGAAGACAATTCGGGACCCGGGGGGCTCCGTCTGAATAAGGACAAGTTGCAACAGGTGGAAAAAGAGGAGAAAAGAGGGGGTGGAAGGAAAAGTTGACAGCAAACCCGACATGCCATGCATATTAAACAGCAGGCTCGGGATTCCTTTCCACTCTTCATTAGGACCGGGGTGCTATCCCTGGCAGCCTGGCCGTGCTCCAACACAAATAATGATATTTTGCTTACCTAGATTCCTCTTGCAGCTTCAAGTGGGAGCTCCGGGCCTTTGGAGCCCTGAGCGGCAGCRCGAGTAGCTCGATGCTGCTATAGGGCTTCCCGAGGGGACGGCCGCAGGGTAGGAGTGCCTCAGCGTGTGTCTCACAACCTCTTTTTTAACAGTGGGTTAAAAAAAAAGAAAAAAGGAAAAAAAAAAAAAAGAGAGAAAAGAAGGAACCTGTAGGTCATCGGTGTGATTTGCATTGAGAAAAATTTGCTACAAAGGCAGCTGTGCTCTGAAATGTGTTTCAGTTTCTGAGAAGATCAGATTTAAGTTAGGCATTCCCTCCCTTGTATTTAAACAAGAAATGTATGCACTTTGAAACTGCCCAAAGTTACTTATTTCTTTCTCTGA